ATTCCACCATTTCATGATCACTGCAGCCAAGTCAACTTAACTATCTACCTCAGCAAGAAAGAAAAAGAGCTGCAAGTTGTAACCCCAATCTATACGACACAGCAAGATGCAATAAGAACTAAGAGGAACCTGTTGCCCCAACCTCCATTATCATGCTCTTACGTTAGAAAACACAAAGAGCAAGACTTTTTTTAATATATTTAATATGCACACCAGTCATGTAGAACGTGTATGCACAAACATTAAATGCCACAGCACACACCAATCTCCCACTCCATCCCCAAACCTTGTAACAAATTCAGGAATTTTCACATGGAATCAACTGTTATGACAACAATTCTTTGGGATACTACTGCTACCCTAAGTGCATGAGCCACTTAAGGTACTTTTGTGGCTAGTCATACAACATACTGATCAGTAGCCACGACTTCAAGCAGTAAAAGCGTTTTCCATTACCTTGAGCTATCTATAATCAAAATTATATGCCAAATGTGCCCTGAAAGGCTCAAGCAACACTTACACAAAGACTTGCACGCACATATACTTCAACCAAAAGATACCATACTTGATGTAGGCAATTTTAATGTGGCTCATTTTGAGCTAAGTCACACCAAATATAGTCTAACAAAACTATTAGCGGCCATGTAGTCCTATCAGCTGTAGATATAAGCTGAATGGGAAAAAAAAAAAAATATCTGTGCAGTGAGATAAAGAACTGGAGCATGACAGATAATGATACTAAGACAGACAGAGAAAGGTTCCTATCATGTTTCAATAGGTTCCAAAGCATGCCTGGCAAACAACCAAGAGACATGTACACAAATACCAAGGAAGCAGCCAAAGTGCCAAAAACAGTGGTTGCTGGGAATTCACATAAGCAATAAAAACAAAAAGCTACTGGTAGTAATGTTTCCACACAAGCAAAAAGAAAAGCAGGCAGATACAGCTAACATTATCCAAGGACTGACACAAAACCAGAAGGAAGCATGGGAGGCGTTTGCTGTACCCCAGTTTACAGACTAAAAGTCCTTGAGAGACTGGGGGGTTGTGGCTGCCCTCTAGTCAGTGAGCTGAGAACGAGGAGGGAAAATTTTGACAGAGAGTAACTAGATAGATTATAGCTAGATCCTTACAGAGAACAAGGTGAATAAATTCTATCTTCTAATTACTGAAACAACCTTGGAAGTTAGCTGCTAAGAAACTTTGTGGAAACATCATTATTCATTGTACTTTTGCTTATTTGATCTTTCTTCTATGTCTCCCCCTTTTTTAAAAACAAACCAACCAACCTAACGTGAATTTACCTGGGTTCTGTTGAAATCTTTAGTAGCTGTACAAACAGCACGCCTGGTTTCTTCTTCTTTTCGTTGTTGCTCCATAGTCTTTTGGTCAAGTTCAAGCCTATCCTTGTCATAAAGTTCATCTAAATTAGATTAAAATGAAATTTAGTCAATATTCATAGATATGATGTGCTGTATGAGTAAGACACTATAAAAGAGAGAGACAGAGGAGCTACAGACACAGTAAGCTGAATTACATAACCATTTCCAAATCCTACCACTGAAAGTTTCCATTTTGGAATTTCAGGTGACTCATGAAATCAGTTTATTATGTAACCCATCTCGTCTTAACAGTTAAGAGTTAAAATTAAAAAGTATGTTAATTACTGCAGAAAAAAATGTTTCATGACAAGCTAAAGAAAAATCAGTATTATTTTGTCTGCTCTAGAACAGTAAAGATCGGATAATTTGGTCTGATGAAGTAAATATACCATCTAGCATGCAAAACATGTTTTTTCAGAATGCTCTGATACTTCATTTGAGGTGTAAAACAGAAATTAAACCTACATAATATTACAATAATTACATGTTATTATAGATTACTTAAGTGAGATATTGAATATATTAGAGCTTGTAAAGTAAAACCTGCTGCAGTATTTCTAAAAGCTACATATTGACCATATCAAAATACTGCTTTGTCAGACTTTGGCACAATAGGCTACACCATAGTTTTTTCAGATAGACCAGAATTTCAGAAAACGCAGATTAAAACCTTACTATCTTGTTACCTGCCAATTTTTTATCAGCTAACGCATTGTTCCAGTCTCTCTGTTGCTGAAGAAACCACTCTCTTAACTGCTCCTTTTGAAATTTCACCCTCTGATCGTAGTTTAAGTCTTCACCCATAAACTTCTGCATGCCAGATACAGTACATCGAGGATCATTGTCTGAAAGTCGAGCAGGTCTATCCTTCTTTAGAGCTTGCGGATCAGAGAGGTCAAATTCACGTCTTGTTTCTGGCTTCTGAAAGTTCTTTTGAAATTCACTGATGGCCTTCTCTATGTTTCTGATATCGTTTTTCTGCCGTTCTTCTAACAGACACAGGATCTTGTCATTTCGCTTCATTTCATTAGCTAGAGAATAATGAACACAAGGAAAACACAATTCTTAGAAGTGCACATGTATGACGGAAAATTAAATTTTGAAGAGAAATAAATAGAATATAAGTCTTCAAACTTCTGTACTTTAGGAAAGAGTATTTGATCTATGAGTATCAGCCCAGCAAACACTCTAATGTTAGTATATAAATAAAATACTTCCCCGTTTTTAGGAATCAATTCTCTTATTAATGTTACAATGAAATATATGCATGTGAAACAAAGACAATAGAACTATGAGGTTTCATTTGATTAAAACTCGTAGTAACACAAGAAATGTACTGTATACTCATTCTTCACACTTTTAGTTTACAGGTACAACTGAAAGACCTTAAGTTGCTTATTAAGAAACAAATAAAAACCAGGCTCCCAATTAAAGGCATATAGATAGTTGTTTCATAGTTCCAATGATTTTTCTAACCGTAGCAATAAAAGAATTGGCAGGCACTAACAGTTTTTGAAGAGCTTAATAGCTCTTGCCCATTTAATCAAAATCTTTTAATCGATTTAAAGAAAACCAAAAAAGCAAACAAACAAACAAAAACACCAACCCACCCAAAAGAAGCCATTCTAGCCATTTAAATATAATTCACAAGAAAAGACAAAGTCCTCTGCTGCTAGACTACATGTTCTTCTGGCAGTTTCCTAGGAGTCAGAGTCTGACAGGTATTCTGCCAGGAAAATCACAAGCAGCTGTAGAAGCGCAGCATGGAAGTTGGCAGCTCTGTTCAAGCTCTTCCTGAAACCCACCGAGAGCTCAGTCCATGGGACTCTTTCACATGATACTGCATTCCAAACACAGAGAGCCACAAAGGGTTTTGAGGTCAGGGGACACAGCTGAAATATTTGTGCAGCTATGTGTTCTGACTCAGCAGCGGCTCCTCCTTACAACCCTATTGTACATGACTCATGCTCCTAGCAATAAAAATCTATAGAGGATTCTATAAAATCTATATATTCCATTGAAGAATGGCCAGGCAGAACATGGGCTTATTTTATAAGAAAGTAATCAAACAAATTTGCCACTGCTATTCTGAAAAGAACAGTAATAAGTAATTTTTTTTCAAAATATTTCCACATCTTCGGCCCTCTAAACAATGCTACTTGTCAACACTTATTAAAAGAAAACACTGAAAATTCTGGCCTATTAGGAAAAAGTACACCAGTTTAATCATGTCAATATAAATAGAATCACAGATTCATAGAATGGTTTCGGTTGGAAGGAACCTTAAAGATCATCTAGTTCCAACCCCCCTGCCGTGGGCAACGACACCTTCCACTACACCAGGTTGCTCAAAGCCTCATCCAACCTGGCCTTGAACACTTCCAGGGATGGGGTAGCCACAACTTCTCTGGGCAACTTGTTCCAGTGTTTCACCACCCTCATGGTAAAAAATTTCTTCTTTGGATCTAATCTACATCTCCCCTCTTTCAGTTTAAAGCCATTGCCCCTTGTCCTGTCACTACACACCCTTGTAAAAAGTCCCTCTCCAGCTTTCCTGTAGGCCCCCTTTCAGTAGTGGAAGACCGTGGCTCTGTGGAGCCTTCTCTTCTCCAGGCTGAACAGCCCCAACTTTCTCAGCCTGTCTTGAGATACTGAGGAAAACACATACTGTTCAATGCAAACGTATGAATAGAAATAGGACTACACATTAAGAGTATTCAGTTTGCATGTCTCAATTTAGAGAAAAGCCTATAATTGAGCTTATCTATATCTTAATTGATAGATTTATATAAATAGATATATATAGCAAGATTGAAGGAGACAGGCTCCATCTGGAAAGAAATATGGCAGTTTGAAATACTTGAAGGGAAAAAGAAAGCAGGGAACAGATGGTAAATCATATTTAACTCATCATAGAAATATCAGAGCATCTACAAACATACCAAATTCTTCATTTCGTGCTTTTTCAGCTGCTTCTTGAATTTTCCTTTCCTTGACCTGGGCATCCAGTGCATCTTTATCAACCTTTTAAAATGAAAAAATGCAGATCTTTAAGAGATACTCTGTTTGAATGATTAAAACCAGGCATTGTCAAGCTACACTGATTCACAGTTGTACGCGACAGATACAAACCCACTACCAACAGAGTATATACACATCACTATTTAATGTAGGTAACATGAAAAGAAAACCCAGAAACAGCAGAATTCTTGTTTGTTTGCTTCATTTTAATAATGATAAGTATATTCTTCCACCAAATCAGAACAAAAGACCACATTTACATGATATATAGAGCTATAAATATAAATATTTTAAGCTGCATTAAACAGAATATGTTTTCCCCATTATAGCTGGCATTTTCTTAGTCTTTCTTGGTTTTCTGCTTTCATTTATAAAGTGAGTAAGAATTTTGACTGTCAAGATGACAGAAGTTGTAATAGTTCAGATTTGAGAAAAATATAGATGGTTCACTAAAAGTACACTGAAGAAATAACGGGGAACAGAATGACATTTTCCAGTCATATCTGATAGAGAGTAGGATTCATGTAGTTGCCAAAATGAAATCCTGGGTGCCATGTCAGATACACGCAGACATCTACAATGAGCTAACAGATCCCTGGAGAATGGTAGCTGAGTAAGTCATAACACCCTAAGGCATTATCATCAAATGGTAGACAGCCACCTACATTTTAGGCAAAAGAATTGGGTCCCATATTTGTTGACAGAAGGTGGCAAATTAATAAGCAGAAACCTGGACTTCATTTTTTTCTTCTTTTCTTTTTTTACTGGTTAAGTCACTTAATGTCTTTAAAAGATTTATCAAAAACCCATTACAATTCAAGAATCTCGTAAACTATTTTGATAGTCTTTGCCTAAAAACTATTCAGATCAAGACACAAAGACCTAAACAGATCATAGCTAAAAATACATGTTGTTAATGCTGTAAAGGACTACTGACTATACCAATCAGACAAAGAGGTAAATCTGCAAGCAAGGGTGAAACCATAAATAATTCTACAGGGTATCACTGTCCAAACCCAACAATGTCATGGGCATTACATATCAACTCATTTAGAGGTCTCATTTGGGAAACCAAGCTTTCAGCGTAACGATAGGAAACACCGTCGAGAAATTTGATGCAACTTCACTATTAGTTTCTGGCAATAACACAGGTAGGTCAACGTACTGACTTGTGGGCGCTAATTCAGTTAACACCATCAGCTCTCTCCCATTAGAACAGTTCCACTTGAGAAGAACAACCCTTCCTAGTCACATAAAGCTACAGGTTTAACTTTTAAGCATTAAAGTAACAAAATCCTTACTATGAATGGTTTGAAGCAGCTAATTTCTAATCTACTTGTATTTATGCATAAGAGAACATATATAACTGGAAAGTAATTTTTCATTGGCCAAACTGGTGAGAGAAAAAGCAAAGAATCTAAACCCACATGAGAAATACCAATATAATATATCACTGTATAGATTTGTTGACTCTTCATGCTTTGGACTTGGCCTAACTTCAAAGCGCAAGAATAGCCTCCTCTGTCAGCAGTCATTGTTCAGCCAATTAATAAGGTACATTGAATGATGTTAATAAAAATATTTACAAAATTCCTCCAATGGGCTCTCCTTCATTTTGTCTCATGTAAACAGATCTATCAAAACCTGTCTGATAAGTTATTTCTGTGAAAGCCATTAGGAAAGATCTTCAGATGGTGTACTTCAGTATTGCTCAGTAAAGTATACCAAGATATGCTGTTTCCTTCTCAGCTATTTCATTAGCTGAGAATTTATGGTTCACATTTCATTTTTAAGGCTCTAGAAAAGCCATCTTACAGAGAAATTATGTTTCCTGATGAAGAAAGTTGAACTATCTTACTACACTCATCCCACATTTGTTAAAAAAGGGTTATTAGCCTACATCTGTTAAAAAAAAAAAAGGTTATTAGCTCTTTCCATTTAAGTATCTTGTTGGCTACTGTATGTGTCAGGATGCTGTATCAGGTGGACAACCTGTCCTGTTCGTTACGTGGGAACTGCTACCTTGCTGTGCAACTACAACGTAAGAGGGACAAGAATAAATCCAAGGCACTCTCAGAGATAAGGTGAAGATACCCTTACACTAACTTAAGACACATTTCCGTACCTGAGACAAGATGGACCAAATTGACATCTGTTGCGACTCTACCAGACCGATGAAGTCAACATTTGGACTTATTTTCGCCGTTTTTAAACTTGGTTCTGTGCTAGTTAATGCTAAAGCACTTACACATCATACATGCACCAGCATAGAGCACACAAAACACTTCACAAGTAAACTTTAAACTTTCTTCACCTCACAGCATTCTTCCCTCCATGCACACACAATCTTAACATCGGCCTTTGGACACATTACAGGAAGATTAAATGAACTATTAAAAATAGGTATAAAGTACAACATAATTTCCTGACATTCAGGGTTCAAACTGCATAGATGACTCTAGAGAAAACCCACCAGACTGAAGCTATCATCCCCACAGATCTTCACAGGCTGAAGGGTGCTCGCATTCTGACACCCACTCCAAGAAAAATCAGACACATCAATTAATTCCATATATACAAACACAGCCTGATGGATCTGTCTTATTTTGCCTGATGCAAAGTAGGGACTACCTGCAGGATCTCTTTCAGCAATAAATCTCTCACAGCATCGATCCTAACTTCTAGTGAGAATCAAACAGGTGACGGAAGTATCAGCACAGCAGAGGTAAAAACCACGTATTTGTTTACGCCACATTGTGTGAGCCGACTTCACAAGTTTCTGGCTTACCCCTAAGTAAATCATACTACATTCACTTAACTCCTACACAGACATTGAAACACAGGGCTTGATTCTTCTTTCTGTCAAGGAGAAAGGAAATCTTGCCCTTGAACCCTACAGCAGTGAAACACAAGTCCCTCTCTGCCTCTCTCACACCTCCTCCCCCCCTATCGCGACAGCTGCCG